CGTTGGCGATCTTCCGCTAGAGCTTGCTGATGGCTTCATACTTTTTCTTAGAGATGTTCTTTATGTACCTTCTTTGCAAAGAAACTTGATTAGTGTATCAAAGTTGGACCATGATGGTTATGATTGCCATTTTGGAAATGGCAAATGTCAGATATTGTTTAATAATAGATGTATTGGTCTTGCCTTCCGACAAGACGAGCTTTATTTGTTATCACTTCGTGAAAATGTGAATTCCGTATGTGATGTGAATGAGAATGTATCCTCATCGAACAATGCAAACAGAAAACGAAAGAGAGCTCATGATGTGTTGTCGAAATTATGGCACTATCGTTTAGGCCATATTTCGAGGAGGAGAATAGAAAGACTAGTTAAGAATGATATTCTTCCTCCATTAGAGCTCTCAGATTTAGAACAATGTAGAGATTGCATAAAAGGAAAATATGTAAAGAAAATTAAGAAAGATGTCAAACGAAGCGCAGGAATTCTACAGATTATTCACACAGATATCTGTGGTCCTTTTCCTGTAAAGAGTATGGATGGTTTTGATTCATTTATAACATTCACAGATGATTACTCCCGTTATGGCTACATTTATCCAATTAAAGAAAGAACAGAAGCGTTGGATAAATTCAAAATATTTAAAGCAGAAGTTGAAAATCAGCATGATTTAAAGATTAAGATAGTCAGGTCTGACCATGGGGGAGAGTACTACGGTCGGCATACCCCATATGGCCAAGTTCCTGGACCTTTTGCAAGGTTCTTACAAGAGAATAGCATAGTAGCCCAGTATTCCACACCGGGCGAACCTCAGCAGAATGGAGTAGCTGAAAGACGCAATCATACCCTGATGGATATGGTGTGCAGTATGATAAGTTACTCCACTTTATCGATGAGTCTGTGGATGGAGGCGTTAAAAACCGCCATTCATATTCTCAATAGAGTACCAAGTAAATCGGTGCCCAAAATACCGTATGAGTTGTGGACAGAAAGAGTACCCTCACTTAACCACTTGCGTGTGTGGGGGAGCCCTGCTGAGGCTAAAGTTTTTAACCCAAACATTGGGAAGCTAGATCCCAAAACAGTGAGTTGCCATTTCAATGGCTACTCAGAAAAGTCAAAAGGTTTTCGTTTCTACTATCCTAACAGACATACAAAGGTTGTGGAAACGAGACACGCTGTCTTCCTAGAGGATGAAATGATTAGGGGGAGCATAGTAGCTCGAGAAATTGACCTTGAAGAGAAGCGGGTGTATGCACCCACTCCGATAATTCATGAGCCATTTTTCTCACTACCTGCTGTTACTGCACCGACAGTACAAGACACTGTGGTGCCAGCACCTATTGTTATCCCGCATGTGGCAACAATGAATGATGATGAGGAACCTGTTCCTCAGGATCCTATAGAAACTATCGCCACACATGAGGGGGAGCAACAACAGCCTCAAACAGAAAATATGCCAAATGAGGAGGCCCCTAGAAGGTCTCAAAGAGTTAGAAAATCAGCTATTCCTGCTGATTATGAAGTGTACAACACTGAAAAATTTCAAATGGAGGATGATCCCACCTCATTTGAAGAAGCCATGAAAAGTGATCATTCATCAAAGTGGCTTGAGGCCATGAAAGATGAAATGAGATCCATGAATGCAAATAAAGTTTGGGATTTGGAGATAATTCCTAAAGGAGCAAAAACAGTAGGCTGTAAATGGGTCTACAAAACAAAACTTGACTCTCAAGGGAATATAGAGAGATATAAAGCCCGACTTGTGGCAAAAGGCTTTACACAAAGAGAAGGGATTGATTACAATGAGACCTTTTCTCCAGTCTCATGTAAGGATTCCTTCAGAATCATAATGGCATTAGTGGCACATTACGATTTAGAATTACATCAGATGGATGTAAAGACGGCATTTCTCAACGGAGACTTAGAGGAAAATGTTTACATGGTACAACCGAAAGGTTTTGTCATGGAAGGAAAAGAACGTTTGGGATGCTGCCTAAAGAAATCCATTTATGGATTAAAACAAGCTTCAAGACAGTGGTACTTGAAGTTTGATCAGACAATAAAGAATTTTGGGTTTAAAGATAATGTTGAGGACAATTGTGTCTACGCAAAGTTTAAGAATGGGAAGTTTATCTTTCTTGTCCTGTATGTGGATGATATCTTACTTGCTAGTAGTGATGTCAGTCTACTACTGGAAGCAAAGAAGTTTTTGTCCTCAAAATTTGATATAAAAGATCTTGGTGAAGCTTCGTTCGTTCTAGGGATCGAGATTCACCGAGATAGAAGTAAAGGGGTATTAGGACTGTCACAAAAAGCATACATAGAAAAAGTCTTAAAGAAATTCTGTATGCATAAATGTAGTCCCTCACCTGCTCCTATAGTCAAGGACGACAGATATGGGGATTTTCAATGCCCCAGGAACCAATATGAGATCGATCAAATGAAAGTGGTTCCATATGCTTCAGCTGTCGGAAGCTTGCAATATGCTCAAGTATGCACGCGCCCTGACTTGGCATTTGTTACCGGGTTACTTGGCAGATTCCAAAGCAATCCTGAAATAGAACACTGAAAATTGGTAAAAAAAGTTGCGTTATTTGCAAGGAACGAAATGCCTCATGATGACGTATAAAAGATCTGATTCACTCAATATAGTGGGATATTCAGATTCTGATTATGCGGGAGATAATAGAAAATCCACGTCTGGATATGTGTTCACTCTCGCAGGGGGAGCTATTTCATGGAAAAGCTCAAAGCAAACCGTCACTACATCGTCCACAATATATGCCGAGTTTGTAGCGTGTTATGAGGCAACGGGGCAGGTGAACTGGCTAAAGAAGTTCATACCCGGTTTGAAGGTGGTTGACGACATCAATAGACCACTGAAGTTATACTGCGATAATAATCCAGCAGTACAGTATGCTCACAACAATAGGTCAAGTGGCGCTGCCAAACACATTGACATAAAGTATTATGTTGTGAAGGATAAAGTCCGGGATCAAATGATAAGTCTTGAGCATATAAGTACCGAAAAGATGCTCATGGATCCGCTTACAAAAGGCTTACCACCCAACGTGTTCAGAGAACATATAGCCGGTATGGGTTTAAGGGAAATTCTATGACTCCTGGACTATAAAGGGCCCAAAAGTTAAAGTAACTATTTCATATCAGAGACATGCATTGTAGCTGTTAAATCTATCGGCGATTGACCGTGACGATGAAACATGCTCTATGTATCATCTGTGAAGAAATGAGTAAGGATAAAAGGATTGAAGTTTAGAGTTTAAAGATAAAAGTAATAGTATGAGATCAAGGGGGAGAATGTTAGATTGATCTCGCAGCCAATAAGCCCAACGGCCTATTGGGCCTTGGTCACGCGCCCTGATCGGGGGCGCCCAACCCTACATGGTTGGTGGGCCCCCGTCGCACTGCGCTATATAAAATGGTGGGGGGCGGCGGCTCGAGGTACGAGGTTCACCGTGAGCCAATCCGCCCCACCAACAAACCCTAAGTCCGATCTAGCAAGGGTGCGCAGCCAGCGACGGGAAGACGCCACCGTCATCACCGTCGGCTTCACTGCACATCACCCCGTCGCCGGACTTCACCGACTCTTCCCAGACCATCGCTGCCCGTGCGCAGCCTACACCAGTGAACCTGATGGAGGCCACTGGATCTTCCACCCCTGCGGTCTCAGGTTTGGTACCCTTTCCCCTTCTCTCCCTGTCTCTCTCTAGACTGTTTTAGATGTATTAGGATCTACCGTTTTACATGTTATACCGAATAGGACAGTCAAAGCCTAGATCTATGATCCAACAGTTTTCACATATCAATCTAATGTGACCAACTGTTTTCTACACGGAATAATGATAACACATACTAGCTCTTGAATCCATTTGATTGCCTTGAGATGAATGGACCTATCTAATAATGTAGTAGCAGCATTGATTATTACCTCCGACAAGACAACAGTGAACCGTCAGTTTCCTTTCCTTCCTCCGCTTTTCCTTATATTTCCTCCCTTGCTGTTCTACTTAGCCGAGCATGTACTACAAGAGATCAACACCAGCCTATCCAAACGTCAGCTGCTACCTAGCAACAACGTCACGCAGCAGCAGCACAAGCGCGCACATCAGCAACTGGCCGGGAATACAAGATACAAGCAGGCAGCATCAAACAACTGACTTACAGCGGAGCTAGGACGAACTGGTGGCAATGCAGCAGCAGACGAACTGGTGGCAGCGATGGATTAGAACTCGGTGTCGGATGGAAGAGGAGTACGTGAATAGGTAAGGGAAACCTAGATGAAATCTGATGGCCCAGATTTATTCGGCTCGATAGGGGTTGATCCAAATGGAAGCGGGGAATATTGTTAATCAAATGAAATCATCGTCTCGACGAGCTCCATGAAATCAGGGACTTTGATCATACATACAGATTACATGGTTTGAAAAGTCAAATTTTTCTCTCATTGGTCCGTTTGGTCTACCTACTAATGTCATAAAATTCATGGATATTACATTCATTCACTCTCCCCTCTACCTTAGCATAAAGCTTACCTACAACCTTTTACTATACTTGCTCTCATGGGCCACTCCACCGGACCTTGGAGAAATTAGCTGCAGCCTAAGGCTAGAATCAGATAGGCCCAGCCCAGCAATGTAATGAAAGTAGTCAACAGAAAAGAGCAGTCACATCTAAGGAAGCCTAGGCTAAATATTTCGGATTACCATGATGTAGCAAGACAAGAGCAAGTCATAGTGTCGACACACTAGCAGTCGTCGCATACAGATGATATCCAAGCATGAAGTGTAGGACATACGTATACGAGTCATTGTCACTGGGAAAATTTAACCTTTATTCATTTGGAAGCAGTACTAGATTAAAGTAAACATTATTGCACCAAAGTGGAAACGAGAAAAAAAAACAAGTCGAAAGCAAATTCAAAGGTGTATAAAGATAACAACATATCATATATGGACTCCGTGGCATAATATGTTGTTATATTAGCAGCTCCATGGGATGAAGCCAACCTCTCCTCCGGCCACGTTGTAGACCACCTCCGTGGTCGCCAGCGTATACGACCCAATCACGGCAGAGAAGGAATCGCCGGCGTCCAAGGAGGAGAAGGCGAGACAGGCCATGGTGAACGGAGCGGCGTCGGTGTCGTCGTAGTACAGCATCTGGTCTGCGTGGATCTCCAGGATGTCGCCGTTACTGAACTTGAACTGAACGTTCGGTATGACGAGGTCATTCAGATCGGTGAAGTTGAAGCACGTGTCGAAGCCGCCGATACCCGGCGACGAGAAGTTGTACCGCGACATCTGCTTCTGGAAGGAGTTACTCAGCGCCGTGTACGCGTCCGGCGCCAGCATGGTGAAGGTGGTCCCCACGTCCAGGTTGGTGCCGTTGCTGCCGAAGGTCCCCACCGGAATCGGGAGGTCCTCGTCACCGAGGCTCATCCCGACGAGGTCGATGAAGTACATGCTCGCCAGCTCCGGGTCGCCGTTGCTCACCAGCGGGGCGTGCGCTGTGACGTTGTCGTCTTTGACGGTGGCGTTGACGCCGAGGGAGAGGAAGCCCTGGGAGCTCGGGGATTTAGGCAGGCAGTAGGAGAAGGCGGCGGCAGGGGCCTGCCCCGACGACGATAGCTGCGACGGCAGTGAGTTGCGGTCGCGGCTGAGGTCGAGGGTCCCGGCCACCGGCTGGTCATCAGGTTTACTCACGTTCAGGCAGACGAATTTGAAGTTGTTGATGGCCGTGGACGGCGCCAGCGCGAGCACATCCTCCGCAAACGTGCCGTTGATGACCGAGTATATGCCGTCGAGCGGGCAGAACGAGCCGCCGGAGCAGTTGGTAGGACAGTCCGGCGAGCCGCAGAGGACATTGGCGAACGTCGAGGACTGCGACGTGTCGAACGCCGGATCACAGTCGTTGGAACCTGAGGCGCAGGGCTTGCACCGGAGCATGGACGCGCCGACGCTGCTGGTGTCGAGGAACACCGGGAACTGCTGCTCTGGCGTGCCATAGTTAACGAGCACGCTGTAGTCCAGCGCGCCCGGTAGCGTCCTCGGGTCCGACGAGCCGTTGGCAGGGATTATGGTCGCTGCCGGCGATGGGGCCAGCACGGTTGCTGCCGGCGATGGGCCCAGCGCAGCCACTGCCGGCGATGGGGCCAGCGCATCCACCAGAGACGATTGTGAGGAGAAACGGCGCCAGATGAGAGAGGCATCACGACGCAAGACATCTGCCGCCGTCAGGGACGGCAGTCCGTGCAACTGCGAGCATGGGCTCTGCCGGTGCACTACGGGTACCTTGTTGTTTCCTAGGCCTGTAAAGTTCAATATATATAACAATATATAAGAGTATATGTAAGAGTATTTTTTAAACGCACTTTCCAAATCAACATTTGGAGAGCTACTTTTATATCTTTTGAACCTCCAATAATTTTTTTATATGTTGTGCACCCTATATAGAGCTAATTTTGCTCTTCGTCTTTGGCTAGCAAAATTAGAATTTTGGTCGTTTCTCTATCTGAGATCGTTTGAAAGTTTTCGAATTTCAAATGTGAAAATTCAAACATAATTTTTCTTGGATAAATGATTTCAATAAAAAAAACCGGCCACCTCGAAAGATAGGGGTATTTATAGATGCCGCTGAAAATACCGGCCGCCTCAACAAATGTCTTTCTAGAGGCGGTTTATTTTTTGGAGCCATTTTTAGATGTGGTTTTAGATTGAGACATCTCTTAAAAAAAAGAAATGTTTCTACAAATGGATTTTGTAGTAGTGAGTTGTATACAAATGGATATTAGAGCCTTAATGGGTTTATTGTGTCATCCATGACCCGAAACTTAGGATGCATACTCATACAAGTTATAATAGCGCAGGCACAGTAACAGTACAGAGTCTAATTCTATAACATATTAGAACAATATATGATGTAAGACGATGTAAATTTCATTGCAACGGAGTATGTTTTGTAAGTAAAAAATAAAACAATTAAATATATACGCTCTATCTTTGTACCAGTTGCGAGGGACGAGCAGGTGGTTGCAGTAGACACCGAGGAGGCCTGCTGGGAGTTGCCAGAAGACCTGCCAGATGTCCTGGAAAAAATTTGTCTGGACCCTTGCTTGTAGCTTGCATGGGAGGAGGCGCCATGTGGAGCAGGAAGCAGAAGCACAAGCAGGCAGAAGAAGGAAAGAGAAGCAACGGAGGAAGTCATTGTGCTAGTACTATACTGCTACGTACATGCATATGAGTCGTAGCGAGTGCACGTATATATACGACGGGTCACCTCACAAATACGCCTCAGGACCCACGTGACGAAATTTGTAACCTCGGAAGCACGCAAAGGATGATTATTGGAGAAATCACGACTTGCTGGCATGCATGCTTAATTCCCCAATAATGCAATGCAAATCACGACTTACTACTTGCTGGCATGCTGCTTCCCCAATGCAAATGCAGAGGATTATTACTGGAAATCAAGACTTTCTGCTTGCTGGCATGCTGCTTCCCCAATGCAATGCAATTGTAAAGCAGGGATGGAGCTAGAGAAAGCGGCCAATGCAACAAACAAAATATCACATATTGGCCGGCTGGCCGTGCAGGACAATGTCAAACGGGCCAGATGTTGGCCGTTGTGTTCTATGTGCATGAGTTGCATAATTTGTGGTGTTGTTAAGTTCCAGGGTAATTAATCTGGAATTAATTACACGCCAAATTAATAGGTTCAGACAAGTATACATGGGAATTTTGGTGTTTTAAGGTTGAGTAAAAACAATTTTACCCAGCAAAAAGACCAATTTAAACAAGGGTAAAGTTCACTTTAGGACCTCCAACTATCGTAGAAGTATGGATTTCAACCTCCAACTTCAAAACCGGATAACATTGGCCCTCCAACTCTCGAAAAAGTTCACTTTAGGACCCTGGCCGGTTTCCCAGGCGGTTTTGCATGGCATTGTAGCCGTGCTGACGTCAGCGATGACGTCAGCACTCCTTTTTAATTTGTAAAATTGATATCTTTTTATTCGGAGCTCCAAATATAGCAAATAATATATCAATTTTGATCGTCTCGACGAGCTCTTTGCAATGGTGTACTCCGTTTTGTTGTTTGAGATAATTTTATTTCATGAAAAAATAAATATTTCTACAAAACAAGTTATGCAATTAAGCTGACGTATGCAAGTATTTTATATACTTTGTATATTTATATATGTACAACACCAACGTAGTCAGTATATAAAACAGGGAGTTGGACGGTCAATCAGACCTGCCACGATCGCTTAGATATTTTTGAATTAACCTTCCCTAGCTGCGGTTAACTAACTGTCAACATATGACACGATCAAACGATATGTTTACTGCTCCTAGTGTAGTTTTTTTTCTGTTTTTGTGGTGAAATTAAGTAGCTAGTGGTAGTAGTAGTATTATATTTATCTTGTACCCAAATCCGATACAGTATACGATTCGTGTACACCTGTCCTTTTTCCTTTCCTATGGCTACTATTGCAAAGACACGAGGCCTGGACGACCATTCGGCCGACCTGTACGTATCTGTTTCCTGGCTGGCATGGCATGAGTATGACCGCATGAAGTGGCAGTGGATAGCTAGATTGAATTGAGGGAGCAGGTAGCAGCAATAGTGAGTGGCTTACTCGTGGTCTAGAATCTTGTGCGGCATCGGTAAGTTGAGCGCGTGCCCCATCGGGAAGGTCGTCCGGGCGAGGATCTCCGTGGCGTCGGCGCGTGCGGTGCGCCTCGTCGCCTCACGCCCGCCTGACGCGAGGTGGCAGCACACGGGCGAAGCTCGTGTCGTGCAGCGAGAACCGGACGGACACGGCGCCTTTGTTGAATTATTGCAGAAATATTTTGAATTATTGCGAAATATTTGCGGACCGAAGCGGACACGTAAGAAGCGAAATATTTCTACAAAACAAGTTTTGAATTATTGCATTTCAAAAATGGTCAAACTTATATATTCTATGGTCAAATGAACCTAAAAGACAACATTTCGTGTTACATAATAATAAAAATATTATTTATCTAACAAATTCCACGAGTTCTCATTATTCTAACTTGTTTTGTAGAAATATTTATTTTTTTCATGAAATAAAATTATCTCAAACAACAAAACGGAGTACACCATTGCAAAGAGCTCGTCGAGACGATCAAAATTGATATATTATTTGCTATATTTGAAGCTCCGAATAAAAAGATATCAATTTTGCAAATTAAAAAGAAGTGCTGACGTCATCGCTGACATCAGCACTGCTACAGTGCCATGCAAAACCGCCAGGGAAACCGGCCAGGGTCCTAAAGTGAACTTTTTCGAGAGTTGGAGGGCCAATGTTATCCGGTTTTGAAGTTGGAGGTTGAAATCCATACTTCTGTGATAGTTGGAGGTCCTAAAGTGAACTTTACCCTTTAAACAAGGTAAGAACTTTGTGAATTTGGAATTTATATGTTCAACTTAGCGAAATCGACTGAGGCATAAACTAGACCTGCAAAAATGGTGGGTGGACCCTTGGTCCCATGTCACCCTTCGTAAGTGGCAACACGGGCTGCGATCCAAATATCCCAGCCACCACCGCCCCTCGTTCCCCCCTTGCCTCGTCGCCGCACAACTCCAAAGGACGACAGGGATGGGGATCTCATGACATAGCCTGAATCTGCGCATGGCGTGTGGCTGGTGCTAGGAGAGCCAGGAAGTGGTGCTCACTGGCTTGAAGAGGCTCCTTTGTGGGCTCTCTAGTGGTCCTATCGGCTGCGTGCTGCTAAGAAGGATGCTTCTCCACTAGCTACTCCCTCATCCTTCCCTCTCTTGGTTTTCTTACAAGTGGCTTGCAACGGCCTATCGACACCTCTCCAGCGAGTTGTTTAGCGATTCGGCGTCCTTGTGGCCGGATCTACACACTATCCCCCAGGTTGATCTTCCCTTTCATGGCCGGTGGTGCGGTGTTCGCCGGCAAGGGCACTTGGGGCGAGGCTAGCGAGCGTTAGTTCTACAAGCACGTCATAGGAGGTGCGGTGCTTGCTGTAAGGAAAATGGACCCCATGGACCATTTAGTTTGGATTTTGGTGTTTGATGATCAACTTGATCATTTGGACTAACATTATTTGCTAGTGTCTTAGGATATTGATCAAAGGTTGCAAAAGTGGACTTGGACTTAGGCAACGTAGTGATCCGGTTAGGCAAGACATTAGAAGACCTTCTTATGAACACCTTGCTGAATACGTCCAATTCTTTAATGAAATTTGTACTAAACAAAGAAATCAAATAAGTGAGCTTAAAAACAAGTATACAAATTTGAAATCTAAAACAAAGAATTGTAACAACACTACTGATATGCAACCATTTGGACTACCACTATTGGATAGTGTCTTTGGATATAGTTCAAAGCGTGCACAAGATGGAACCAAGTTGGACACAAAAATCACAAAGAAACAAGTCAAGATGTGGCACGAACCATGCATCGGACCGGACCCATAGGGTGTCGAACCATAAGCGATCCAAACCCTAGCCACGGCATTTAGTAGGAGCTTCGGACCGAGTGGGAAACGGGGCATCAGACTGAACGCCACCACTATTCATGCGAGCAGCCGCGTCGGACCGAGGGTAGAAGAGCAGCATTGGACCAAAGAAGATGGGTCCGAAGGCATGTAGAAAGGTTCCACAGAGGAGCCCCAATGATCGACAACAATGACAAGTTTCAAGGGCTAGCTGTGGACTAGGCGTCGGACTGGTGTAACAACCCCTCATTGGACGGTCTGGTGAGTGCGCAGAAAACTTGTGTAAGTTCCAACGGCTACATTTGGATTTGAGTGCTATATATAACCCCTTGGCCGGCCATTTGAAGGGGTGTAGAGCTCAAGGAAGACTTATGTGAGTTGAAGCTCATCTCTAGTTGCTCTAGCCACCAAAGTGCTTAGTGATTGATATACTCGATGATTAGCATAGGTTCTTTGCGAAGTGCTTATGCTAGTTAGACCACCACTTTAGCGCTGGCTCTAGGTTTAGGCCTAGTGTTTAGTGAGGTCTGTATACCTCTTATCACTTGGTTCTTGCGCGCACCGTTGTTGTACACAAGAGGGGCTTGTAGTCTTGCGAGACCAGACCAACCGTGTTTCACTACTGTATTTTGACCCTTTAGCCACGCTATGCACTGCAAGGACACAAATTTGGTTGCAATACATGGGTGTTATTGCCACAATTTTCATTTTTTGTGGCAATAGTTGGCAATATAGCCACGACTATATTTGCTTTGTGATTTCCATGAAAATCATTGCAATTGGTAGATGATATCGCCACCGTTTATAAAGCAGGTGCAAGTGCTTGACAATATTGCCACGATATGGTTTGCATTGTGATTAACACTACTACATAAACTTTACTGGAGGCGGGCGATTTGGGTTTCCCGCGGCGGGCAAAGCCGTCCACCGCGGCCTAGAGGCCACGGTAAATCGTGGCTTAACCGCGGCGGGCGGCTTTGCCCGCCGCGGTTAACCGATTTACCGCGGCGGGCGGTGTAACGTGCCCGCTGCGGTAAATATACTTTTACCACGGCGGGCACGTTACACCGACCGCCGCGGTAAATTATTTTACTGCGGCGGACACCTTTTGTGGCCCGCCGTGGTTATGTTGATTAGCCGTGGCAGGCTTTATTATTTGCCCGCCTCGGTAAATTATTTCCTGAATTAAAAAAAATACAGCAGGCATATAAATTCAAATAAAATACAGCAGACATATAAATTCAAATTCAAATTCAAATCACATCAAGATTTCACAGATTAAACTTAAAAAGTATGCAGGCATTACACATGAGATAATATACATATATATATACATTCACTTAGTCGTTCTTGTTATCGTTAATTCATTACATTTACATATTAAAGTCGTTATACATGCGCTAAGGTGTAATCCTGCGGACGCATCATCATGGGCCGTTTCCTCAGCCTCTCGTACTCCGGTAACATCGTTAGCGGGCTGTTCTTATGGAAGAACGTGCCCCCTTCAAGCACGCATTTGTCTAAGACAAACTTACATATGTCCGTCTTTGTCTGCTTGAAGCTGTGTTGGATGCTCTGCATGTCTCTCGACCAGTTCAATCCATTCTTGAGCACTCTCCAACTGCTGCTGTACTGCTTGCACACCCTCAGGAACTCACAGGCGTAGAAGCCACAAGTTTGTGATCCTACCGGTTGTTTGGCACACTGCAT